AAAACAAAAAACTTACAATGGAACACTATAAAATATATATTTTTAACACAAAAGAAAGTAAAAGAGAAAGAAAGAAACAAAAAAAGAGACATAGAAAATAAAACCTGATTATCAAAACCAGTGAGTTCAGCAAGGTTGTAAGATACACGATCAACATCTAAAAATCAGCTGTTTCTCTATATAACAATGAACAATCTGAAAATGAAGAACATTGCATTAATAAAAACATCATAAATAAAATATTTAAGGACTGGGCGCAGTGGCTGACATCTGTAATCCCAGAACTTTGGGAGGCCAAGGCGGGCAGATCACAAGGTCAGGAGTTCAAGATCAGCCTCACCAACATGGTGAAATCCCGTCTCTACTAAAGATACAAAAATTAGCTGGGTGTGGTGGTGTGTGTCTGTAATCCCAGCTACTCAGGAGGCCAAGGCAGGAGAATCGCTTGAACCTGGGAGGCAGAGGTTGCAGTGAGCTGAGATCACGCCACTGCACTCCAGCCTGGATGACACAGCGAGACTCTGTCTCAAAAAAATAAATAAAATATTTAGGGATAAATTTAACAAAGAGGTATTAGACCTGTACACTGAAAAATATAAACATGGGTGAAATTTTAAAGATCTAATTAGAGACCCCAAGTGTGTGGATTGGAAAACTCAAGATTGTTAAGATGGCAGTTCTTCCCAAATTGATCTATAAATTCAGCAAAATCCCTATCAAAAAAAGAACAGCTGACTTTTTTGAAGAAATTGACAAGCTAATCCTAAAGTTTATATGGAAATACAAAAGATCCAACATAAGCAAAACAGTTTTGAAAAAGAACAAAATTAGAGGATTTACACTTCCCTATTTCAAAACTTAATGTGCAGCTACAATAATCAAAATTGTGGTACTGTCTTAAGTATAGTGATATAGATGAATGGAACAGAAATGAGGGTCTAGAAATAAACTCTTACAGGCATTGTCAATTTATTGTTGATTAAAGAACACCAAGGCAATTCACTGAGGAAAGGATTGTCTTTTCAAGAATGGTGCTGAGGTTGGACATAGTGGCTCACACCTGTAATCCCAGCACTTTGGGAGGCCAAGGAAGGAGGATTGCTTAAGCCAGGAATTTGAGACCAGCCTGGGCAACATAGTGAGACCTCATCTCCACAAAAAGTAAAAATAAAAAAAAATTAGTAATTGGACAATTGGATATTCACATACAGAGTATGAATTTAAATCCTTACTTCATACCATATACAAAAATTAACTCAAAATAGATCATAGACCTAAACGTAAGAACTAAAATATTAAACTTCTCAAGGAAAACAGAAAACCTTCATGACCTTAGTTTAACCAGTTTTTAGATGATACCAAAAGCATGAAATTGAACTTAATAAAAATGTTAAGCTTTTGTGCTTCAAAAGACGCCAATAAGAAAACAGATTGGGAGAAAATATTTGCAAATCTGATATAGGACTCACATCCAGAACGTATAAAGAACTACTACAACTCAATAATAAAAAGACAAACCTCAATTAAAAAATAGATAAAAGATTTGAAGAAACATAGATACCTATAAGCACGTGAAAAAACACTCAACATTAGTTATTAGGGAAAAGCAATTAAAACCACAATGTAGTATCACTTCACATCCACTGAATAGCTATAAGAAGATAGTCAATAATTAAGTATTGGTAAGGATGTGGAGAAACTGTAACACTCATCCATTACTGGTGGGAGTATAAAGTGATACATTTTACATTTAGAGTATGATATCAATCCACTAAAATTTTATTGTGGTGATGGTTACGTAGCTCTGTAAATACCCCTTCAGTAAAGCTGTCAGAAAGAAAACCGTACTGCTAGACTAACTTCCAGTTTATTATACTGGAACAAGTCAGACGATACCAGGAGGAAGCAATCAGATAAACAATGTGAGACATTCTGTAAGACAACTGGCTTCCAATGTTATGAAAAAACCGAGTTATATTCCCACATACCAGAAATGACATTTCCAAAAAAGATATTTATAACGGTATCCAAATGTATGATGTACCTAGGAATATATGTAACAAAAAATTTACAAGACCATCTTGGCGATTAATAAAATTTTATTAAGACATTAAAAGAACTTAGTGATATATCACGTTCATGGATTGAAAGGCCCACTGTGATATAAATTCTCCCAAAATAGCTTATAGATTCATTGCAACTCCAGTCAAATTTTCAATGTGTTTGGCATTTTTTAGTGAAACATGATAAACTATTTCTAAAATATATAAAGAGCAGAGAACCAAGAAGAGCCACAAGCTATTGATGAATAACAAGGACGTGAAAGGACTTTGATATATCAAAAAAAATTTTTGAAGATGATGGAGTAATGAAGAGGGTGTCCATTAGCAGAGGGGAAAAAAACAATATAATAAAGAGCTCATAAAAGATCTTTGCATATATGGACAATATACAACAGAAAAGGCACTTCAAAGCAATAGGACAAGGAAGTTGTTTTTTTTTTTTTTTTTCCAATAAACAGTGCTGGCACAACAGACTAGCCTTAAAGCAGCAAAAAAATTACCTCATACTATATGTTGAAGATTGTTCCAAGTGGGATGACACCAAAATGTGAGAGGCAAAACTACAAAGCATGTAACAAGAGAATATTAACTATATTTTTAACGTAATGATTTTAAAAAGTGAGCTAACCATAAAGGAAAACTATTGATATATTTGAAGATATTAAAATTAAAATGTTAATATATTTTATAAACACTGTGAAAAGACAAGCACAAAGTGGGAAAAGATTCTGCAACACAACTCTTAAAGGAGTAGTATCCAGAATATACAAAGAATCACCTGCAAATTAATGAGAAAAATGGTCAAACTTCAACATACTTCATTCACCAAAGATGAAATCCAAATGGCCAAAAAATATATGAAATGTGCTCAGCCTCATGAACACCTTTCATATTTTTTCCATATAAGGAAAATGGTCATTTAAACGACAGTGTGATACCATTATACATCTACCAGATTGGGGTGGCTGGGGGAAAGCCAGTACACCCTGGGAAGAATGTAAATCAGTACAAGACTCTTTGGGAAACAGTTGGCATGATCTAGGTTCCACTCTTGTATATGTCCTTTTAAAGATGCAAACTCCAGAAGACATGTTCAAAATATCCATAGAAACACTGTTTGAAATATCCCCAAAGTGGAAAAAATCCAGATTGTCCATCAAGAGTAAAATGAAAAAAGTATATGTAATACATTCATACAATGGAATAAACACACTATAGCTACATTCAGTGATAAGGATGAATCTCATAATGCTTAGCGAAAGAAACCAGTCTCAAAAGTGTACATATGGTTCACATAAATTCCAAAAACAGAAACTAAATATGGTCTTTAGAGACATATACATGAATGGTAAAACTGTGAAGAAAAAGCAAAGCGAAAAGTAGGGATGATGTTAAAGTGGACGGCAGGTTGTGTTAGGGAGGGACATATAGGGAGCTTCTGAGTGTTGGAGATGTTCTATTTCTTTACCCGGTAGTCATATGGTATGCACATTATGTTAAAAATATATATGTGTGTACATATCTGTTGTATACATGCATACATGTTTCAGGTACTTTGTCTATATTCCACAATAAGAAAATATACAAATGACCAGTAAATATGAAAAGACATTCAATCTCACTAGTAATTAGAAAAATAAAATAACCATGATCAGCTCTCATGATTTGCTGAAAATGTAAAAGACTGATAATATCCCTCTTTGCTGAGGTTGCAGAGAAATAGGCATTCTCATATGCTGTCAACAGGAAAGTAAATTAATAATTCCTTTTTGAAGACCAATGTGGCAATATGTATAAAAACGTAAAGCTTGTCTTAAAAGTCTTCAATTCTAAGTATCTATCCTAATGAAATTCACATGCACTCAAGATATGTGTACGAAGATGTCTGCCATTCACTACAGCATTGTTTGCCGTAGTGAAAAAAATGAATAAATATCAAAAGGGGAGATTTATGAAAAGTATTATAACCCACAAAATGAAATACTATGCAGTCATTAAAAATAAAACTTTATAAACTGACATGGAAAGATATCCAAAACACAAGCAAGACACAGAATAACACACACACAGCATAATCCTGTTAAAATATAAATATGTACATATATTTATATAGAGTTATGAAAAACAGACTACAGATTCATGCTGTAACCTATTAGCAGTGATTACCTCTGGGCCAGGAAGTGGTGGAGGTAGAAGGAGGGTAAGCGGGACACTTTCCCATCTTACTCTAGATACATACATAGGATTCTTTTATAATCACATATCCATGGACTACTCATATATTCCTAACAAGTGGTAGTAGCAAAACAACTGTATTATTATTTGTTCCATTCCTATGAGATCAATCTAACACATTTGAAAATAACTTGCTTTCAAAGCTAATTCTTTTGTTCCTGGAGGGCCTTCACACAGCCTACAGTTGTGGTCACAGGGCTGTCAGCCATCAATCAAGGAGCCCTGTGCAGGATACTAAGTAACTTGGTCTGTCTCCAGGCTCGCCTCTTGAAAATATTTGCATACATTCTCATATTCCAGCTTACTGGCAGTAGCAATATCTTCCAAGAGCACTTTGGTAAGGTAAATAAATTCTGATGATGCACATCAAATCACATCCATATCAAAGTATAGATGTGGCTGTCAAGATGTATGTTTAGATCCAAATTAGTAATCACGCCTTTGGTGAGTGACTTTTAGAACAGTTTGCATTTGGATTCCAAAGTAAGAACGTAGACCCCACTAAATCACCATATAGAGCCTTTCTTCTCTTTCTTCTTCCCTCCCTTCACTCTGCGCTAGCCCTTTCTAAAACTAATTTTTCTATTTTCTATAAAGGTGGAAGAAAGGGCGAACCTGATCATGAGATTTTTGGAAACAGTAGTCAATCAGAACAAAAAGCATTATCAGTATATTTACGAAGAAAAATCAAACTACATGTACACATTTTGGTGTGCATTTTATTTTTGACTGGAATCATATCCATATGAAGGAAAACTGTGGAAGTATCCTTTACTCTTTTGAAAGCTTGGCCTTTGCCTTGCTGTGTCAAAGGAAAGCAAAACTAAGCCAGTAATGATGGAGATATCCCTGTTTCTATATGCACACTGACAGGAGAGGAGCTGCCTAGGAAATGCTTTTTGATTGATGAACAGAGGAGGGTCTACACACACATTAAAATACAAATGGAAACATATCAGCACACACAAGTCATTAGCCTGGTCCTCTGGCATCCACTGGCATGCATCTTTCCAAAGTACCACTTATTCAATGGTATCAGCAATATGTCTCATTATGCCTTTTATCAGCAAATACCTTTTTATTCCAGAATGGAAAACAAACTAGGAATTAAATACATCCAATATTGATGCTTTATTTCCATAAGTCACCAATAAGAGAATGAATTTAATTTTAATACATTTATTTTTGTGTGATTCTTAATAAAACACTTTCAAAACATTCTGTACATTTCAAGCCACTCAGAACCGCATTACATTTCTACAAATGTGATTTGTTGGGATGAGGTGCCAAGATGTCTCTGTACAAAGATGTACAATATGTACAATCACTGTAAGTGCAAGCTGTGCAAAGCAGAGTCTAGAACACTAATTCATGCCAAGGCTTACAAAAACATTTCAACACATAAGACTAAAGCTTGAAACAGCATTGTGGTTTTTTCCCTGGGCAAATGATTATTTTATAAACAAGTATATGTATATGTCATATAGAAAGAATAGTTTGACTCCTCAGCTCAGTCAGCACCATGCAGCTGACTGGATACATTACAGGGCTGCTCTCCTAGGCCTCTTTCTTCAAGGTGCCATTTTGCCACACTCAACAGTTGTCTCATCACTGAGTGGCTGCCACTGCTGCCTTTGGCTGAACCACAGCAACACTAGGAGACTTAAATTTGGGGAGATAAAGGCCAAATTTGTTTTCGATGCCTGCAAACGTGGCTGTGGCGAGTCTGTATCCACCGATGTGATCAGGGTTGGCAGGAGGAAGGTCTGCAATGCGTGACTTAGGTGTTGGTTCTGAACCAGCGGGTTTGCTGTTGACAGAAAAAAAGCCAACGGTTAGCATGCTGAAGGTGGATGAGGGCAGCTTACAGCTGGACATTTTCGGTCTGACCCATGTGCCACAAAGAAGAGTGTTTGTCTCAACTATTTCCATGGCACCTGTGCTGCATGACTAGAAACAACAGTCATGATTTATGGCTGCTTTGACAGCAACTTATCTACATATCTGATTTACAAGAGAAATGGCCTTATTTCCAATGCTTGTATACATATATAAACAGATCCATAGGAAAAAAGTCAGAAGAAAAGACATTCAAATATGAAGATTCTCTGGGAAGTAGGATTATGGATGATTTTTTTCTTTTTTCTTTTTGTAAAGATGGGGTCTTGCTATGTTGCCAAAGCTGGTTTCGAACTTCTGGTCTAAGCGATCCTTCTGCCTTGGCCTCCCAGAGCACTGGGAGGTGTGAGCCACCACACCCAGGCTGGTTTTTTTCTTTTATGCTTTATGGTTTTCCAAATTTTCTGCACTTAGCATATATGAAAGTAATTTTTAAAGTATATATTTTTCTTTTGACATAACTTTAGAAGTTAACTTTTTACGTAGTAGACTCATAAAGATTATCAATTAAATTATTTAAAGAGAAATAGGCAGGGCACGGTGGCTCACGCCTATAATCTCAGCACTTTGGGAGGCCAAGGCAGGTGGATCACGAGGTCAGGAGATAGAAGCTATCCTGGCTAACACGGTGAAACTGTGTCTACTAAAAATATTTAAAAAAAAATCAGCTGGGCGCGGTGGCATGTGCCTATAGTCCCAGCTACTCGGGAGGCTGAGGCAGAAGAATCACTTGAACCTGGGAGGTGGAGGGTGCAGTGAGCCGAGATCGCACCACTGCACTCCAGCCTGGGCGACAGAGCGAGACTCTGTCAGAAAAAAAAAAGAGAGAGAGAGAGAGAGAAATAAATAGCTTTAGTTCTTTTACAGAAGTTGAAAGCATGGAAAAGCCTGAAGCTTCACATTTCTACAATGCAACTGTAAGACTACTGTTCTCACTTTTTTTGTATAGGTCCCTCCACTTGATCCAACAGCTGATTCCATATATGGCCTTTGGGCACAGAGGAGTTCACAGGCTTCTGATGTGAGGACTCAGGAATGGTACTTGGTCTTCTGCTAAAAAGCTAATAATTGCTTGCTTTGGGTACAACTTCCCCACCCAGAAAATTCAACTAATAATTCCTCTTCTCAGTGCAAGCTTCAAATGATAAACTTTTAGAAGCCCAATTTCTGGCCTACAGCTCACTAGTGATTATATCCATGGGCAAAATCTCTCTTCAAGCCTATTGGTTTTTCCAGTAAATTAGCTTCAAGAACATCTACACCTAACTAATAATAAATTGTGGTGAATAATGAAGTATCAGAGATGCAAAAAGGCTTGGGACTTTGAAAGAAAATGCACAAAAGTGTTACTGGTATACATTTACATTACTTCTGTGAAAGGGCCATATAATAAAATCCACATAATGAGAACACCATGAAGTTCAGTATTTGCTTACGTGAAAAAAGACAATTATTTACACAGCATTTTAATCTGCTGCCTCCTGGCTAGGCACGGTAGCTCATGCCCATAATCCCAGCACTTTGGGAGGCCAAGGCTGGTGGAGTTCGAAACCAGCCTGGACAACACCGCAAGATCCCATCTCTATAAAAAAGTACAAAAATTAGCTGGGTGTGGTGGCACGCCTCTGTGATCCCAGCTACTCGGGAGGCTGAGGTGGGAGGATCACTTGAGCCCGGGAGGTTGAGGCTACAGTGAGCCAAGATCATGCCATTGCACTCCAGCCTGGGCAACAGAGGATATCCTGTCTTTTAAAAAAAATTTGCTGCTTCCCTAAAATCCCCCAATAGCTTATTAAAGGTTCTGTCTTATCAGTTTTCTAAGAGTTGCAACAATGCCTTTGTAGACAGAGCAAACATTTCTTTTGGTTTTAGTGATTTCTTTGTAAAGGAGTTGAGCAGCTGACTTACAGGCCTCCAAAATCAATGTAAAACCACCGCTGGAGAAGTTCATAAGTGACCAAGGTAACACCAAACTGGGGAGAGGATCGAAACACTCGAGCTGAAAAACAGAAGCAGGGGCAGGGGAGACTTAAAGCCAGAACAAATGTGGTAAAGACAGCCACTGAGTCACAGGGGAGGATGCTAGAGCCAGCCAGCTATTCTGTATGGCTCCAGCCCCTGCCTACCTGCAGTCCCTTTCCAAAATGCTGAGGGCCCTTCTTCCCGGAGAATCTTCCTGAAACAGTCGATGACACCACTGTATGTCGTCTGGCCAGCGCGGGCAGCCACCTGCAGTCTTGTCTTGATGACATCAGCAGGGGTCACCAGAGATGCAGCTGGGACACCTTTCAGAAGAAAACTACATTTATCTAGAGTACCTTATAAAAGATAGGAATACTACTAACATCTACTATAGAGTCTGCAACTTCAATCACTTGAGCGGAACTCAAAACTCTTTAAATAGATGTCTGGCCACTAATGGGAAAAGGACATAGAAGCCTATTAGCTGTTTCAATGTGATCAGTGGAAAATTATTTTTTTTTCCGAATTAAAAAAAAATCACTCTACATTGCATGATCCCAAATAACTGTGAAACGAAAAAAAAAGTAGCAATATTAATAAGGCAATTCCCGTGTTCTCTTTCAGTTTCAATTATTTTACCTCCTTTTTTTCTTAAATAAGATACAAGTATTTTTTATGTATAAAAAAAGGATAATGTCATTTTAGTGAGTCACTAAATGTATCTGACACCAAACTACTGTTTTTCCTGATTCTTGTCAACTGTAGTGTGGGAGGTGAGTATCAATACTCATAATCACTCGCTTGTTTGAAGGGCTACCTTGAGAGTTAACTGTGACTCCTTTCAGACATGCTTACATGACAAAAGTCATTACAACTGGAGCGAGAGGTGGCCAGACAGCCAGTTAAGAAACAATAGGGGAGCTGGTCAGGGAAAGGCCCCTGTGCCCAAGCTCCCTGGGGTCATGTTGAGATTGATCAGCATCAGGACACAGAAGACGGGATTTCACAACCACACCTTTTACTTATAAAATAAAACAGAGAGCAAAGGAGCAACATAATCTTCCCCAGGGGAAAGAAATTCAATTTGGCCTGAATATCATTGTATCCTCACTAGGCAGATGGAGCTGGCAGCCTTGTAGGGGGTTCTGCTAGAGAAGAATGCAAATACCTCCCCTTGGCATGGCCTTGCACCCTATTCAGATGAAACTAGATAAACTGCCTGCCTTTGGAGGCAGACTTTTGAATGTTCTCAGTTCCTGCTAGCAAATCTTGACTGGTAAAAATTACAAAAAAATAATTTCATTCTGAAAACTGACATCAAATGTCTATGGGGAAAAAGTTGCTGCTGACAGTTCCATGGAAATATTTAGTTGGTTCAGTCAACCACTGGCAAATGCCTGTCCACAATTAGACTCTTCTTCCCTGGCTGTTTTTCGTTGTTGATTGGGAAGCACAAGGAAAAGCCTGGAAGGCAAATGTTGCCCCCATTTAAAAGTAGGAGACTGGGCCAAGTGTGGTGGTTCACACTTGTAATCCCAGCACTTTGGAAGGCCAAGATGGGTGGATCACCTGAGGTCAGGAGTTTGAAACCTCACATGTACAGCCTGACTCTTTTTTTTTTTTTTTTTTTTTGAGACGGAGTCTCACTCTGTCGCCCAGGCTGGAGTGCAGTGGCACGATCTTGGCTCACTGCAAGCTCTGCCTCCCAGGTTCACGCCATTCTCCTGCCTCGCCTCCCGAGTAGCTGGGACTACAGGCACCTGCCACCACACCCGGCTAATGTTTTGCATTTTTAGTAGAGATGGGGCTTCACTGTGTTAGCCAGGATGGTCTCAATCTCCTGACCTCGTGATCTGCCCACCTCGGCCTCCCAAAGTGCAGGGATTATAGGCGTGAGCCACCGCGCCTGGCCTCAGTCTGACTCTTGAGTTAGGAAGGAGCTGACTTGGAAAAGGAGAGAACCAGATGTCCTTGGCTGCACCAACACTCCGAAAAGACAAAGGAAGGAAGGGGTGCATGTTTGCTCTCTATACAGCCAGTAATGAACCATTACAGAGCTCAGTGTGGCTCTGACCAGCTGTGCTGGCCAACATGGTGAAACCCTGTCTTTTTACAAAAATTAGCCAGGCATGGTGGTACACGCCTGTAGTCCCAACTACTTGGGAGGCTGACGCAGGAGAATCGCTTGAACCCGGGAGGCAGAGGTTGCAGTGAGCCAAAATTGTACCACTGCACTCCAGCCTGGGTGACAGAGCAAGACTCCGTCTCACCAAAAAAAAAAAAAAAAAAAAAAAAAAGGTGGGAGACTGGTAAGTACCAGAAAGGGGCTGCTACACACAACTCACTGCCAAGACTGAGCAGGTAACTTTACTGGCTTTTAAACGGAAAACTTACTGAAATTACCACCGCTAGGGGAGAAAGGACTTGCTGGGCCCCAAGTAAGGGCGGTAAGGTCCCTGGGGCCGTTTCTTAATGATCACAAGTCATCCCTGTCTTCACAAGCAAGAACAACAATGTGGTCCATCCCAACACTCTCAGGCCCAAGGGCTCCTGCCACACACCAAGCACAGCACACTCCAGGAGCTGCTCAGGTTGCCCCGATGTTTAGCCAGAGCCTCCAGAGGAGAATGAGCCCAGCAGTGAAGAGCCACACAGTGAACATAAGCCTGGCTGGTCACAGCCACACTGAGCTCTGCAATGGTTCATTACTGGTTGTATAGAGAGCAAACATGCACCCCTTCCTTCCTTTGTCTTTTCAGAGTGTTGGTGCAGCCAAGGACACCTGGTTCTCTCCTTCTATTCCAAGTCAGCTCCTTCCTAACTCAAGAGTCAGGCTGTACCTGTGAGGTCAGAAGGAAGCATCTTAGTATGTCCCTGCTCTTACAGGGCTCCTCTTTCAAATGGAATCTCTTCTGTGCCTAATTTGGTATCTTAGATGAGATGAAGGTTTTCCTTCATGTTATTGACATTTATTGAGCACCTATTACTACTACACTGGCCACACAGGAAAGGCAAGGATGAAGAGAATGAAACTCTTGCCCTCAAGAAGCTATTAGCCTAGTACAGAGGATAACACTTATGCAAATAACTATTAATAAAAGACAAACTGTTTTTGTTTTTTTTTTGTTTCTTTGTTTTTTTGTTTTTTTGAGACAAGCTCTCACTCTGTCACCCAGGCTGGAGTACAGTGGTATCATCTCGGCTCACCGCAGCCTTGACCTCCCAGGCTCAGGTGATCCTCCCACCTCAGCCTCCCGGGTAGCTGGGACTACAGGCACGCACCACTATACCTGGCTAATGACAAAGTGTTAAGGGTTAGAAAAAGTACAAAAATTGAGTTCAAGGTGGTTTGCTGAGGGGTACTGCTTACTTTGGTCTAATGAGGGCAATGGTAGGAAAAAGAGGGACACCTTCACGACAAAAGCTCAATTTTGGGCCAAACTATGTAGATTCCAATATACAGAGAAAGTAAGAGCATGCTAGATCTGTGCATAAGCATGAGATACAGCAAAGCAACTGATTTGAGGAAAAACTTTCCCACCTTAATGCTTAGCTTGGCTGTACTCAAGGTTTCAGGGGCACAGGAGACTAAGAAACATGTTAATGATGAAAGCCCAATTTAGATGGGCAGATCTAATTTGGCTCTGAGTTGCTAAGCTGCATTAAGCTGTTTATCCACATTATGCAAATGTAATTAACTCTCATCAGAATTACAGCACATCCCACAAAGGAGAAAAAGTGATATTTAAACTAAGTCAGGTACAAACAATAATCCTTCCAGAAATAAAAGGGGAAAGTACATAGAGATTCTGTACTTTTTAAATAATGGGAGAATTCTTGCAGTTAAAAAAAAAAAAATTCGTAGTTACCTGCCATGGCTCCAGCTGCAAGAAGATTTAAACCTCCCACATGTCCATTTTCATCAGCCAGAAGTAGTTTGCAATGAGCATAAACAGGAAAATAGATTGCAGAGAAGGGAATGTCTCGGAGGAAACACGCTTTGGCACCCTGTCACACAGTGAGGAAATAGTGCAAAACAGTGTGAAACTGAGTATGAATGCCCAAATGGGATCCATGTGACATTTTTCAGTGACAAGCCTGAGGTGTCCCTCAAACAGCATTAGAACTGATGTGCAAGGGAAATGGGGGAGGCGGGAGATGAGTGGGGAATAGGGAAATCCGTATATCTCAAAGCTTGTGAAAGCATGGTGAATCCTGCAGTCCTAGAGTTAATAACTGGGTAATGATACTATCTGAAAACTAAGAACTTTCTGGCATTTTTTATATAGATTCAGGGTTTTTAAAATTAATTAATCTCTTACTATGGTAAAAACACACAAGATCTACCCTCTTAAATTTTTACATCAGGTGAGAGTCCCTGCAGTGCCAGGTAAAAAGCTAGCAGCAGTGGTGAAGGAAGGTAACTACTCTAGAGCAGGGGGAAAAGAAACCCAAATCTTTCCCTCCTCATTCCCCATGTCCTAAATATCAGACAAAATATTTTAGCAGCAGATTTCCACAGGAGTAGAAAATCATGACCCAGGGGCAGCTTGTCCCAATGACTGAGGTCTCAAAGAACACCTCTCTCAGCTCTGTCGGAAGCCCACACCATTCCACCACCTAGCTAGGCAAACGCTCCACCTTGGCGCTTATTTTTTTAATGACTCTGTTTTCTTCTTCTTTTTTTTTTCCTGAGACAGGGTCTCACTATGTTGCCCAGGCTGGAGTGTAGTGGTGCAATCACAGCTTGCTGTAGCCTTGACCTTCTGGGCTCAAGTGATCCTCCCACCTCAGCCTCCTGAGTAGCTGGGATGACAGGTGTACACCACTGTGCCAGCTAATTTTTTTTTTTTAAAGTAGAGACAAGGTCTAGACATTTTGCCCTGGCTGGTTGAACTCCTGGGTTCAAGCAATCCCCCTGCCTCGGCCTCCCAAAGTGCTGGGAGTGCAAGTGTGAGCCAGTGCTCCCAGCCCTGGTTGTTTTCCAAAAAGACAAACTCAAACATTGAAAAAAGAAAAAAATCCACGGACTCACTAAAGGATAATACAGAGAGAAGCAATATTAATAAATTCATCTCTCAAAGGGAATTCAAAAAGGATGGAAATTGGGAGTGGGGAGGAGGAAGCAAAAATGTGTACGAAACTCTCTTGAGACAGGCATCATTGTTTGCTGGTCTCCAGAGAACCCTGTAGCTGTGTGATTCCAATCTAGAGAATTTCTAATTTCTAATTTGCAGTTACAGAAACAAATTTACACATTTCTGCAGTGATGGATCTATATCAGATGCTGTGGAAACACAGTTGTCTATGGTGGCTAAATTTACGTATTCCCCTTACACGAGGCAAAGGAATGGAAAGAAATCCTCTTCCTTGTTTAAGAAAAATAATAGCTTCTGCTCCATTACATCTGATCTGTAATGATGGGAGTAAGTATGCCCGCAGGGAAGGAATCTGTTGACTGGCATTTTGTTAAAGTACAGTACACTCTGTTGTTGTTGGGTTTTTTTTTTTTTTTCCTAAATGGAATTCATTATTGACAAATCCTACCACTTAACTTCTTAAAGACCTGAATCCTACCAAACTCTACTACTGTTTTACTGTGGTCAAATTATTAAGACAAAGAAAAGCTCCCACTGGGAAGTTAACAATAGAGATAACTCAGACTGAAAATAAACATCAGACATATTTTGAAGCTCTAAACCAGCCCAAAGAGAGCACCAAGGAAAGTCTTCCCAAACCCCCCAGCAAATGAAAGGCTGTGAGCCTGAGGCCAGTAGGTCTGCGGTGCTGGCCTCCTTGCTGGCAGTTTCACAAAAGCCTGAAGATGACAACAGGAGAGGCTGCATGTGTATTCCACAGCCTCTCATACAAGTGTCCTGATTCTTTTCTTTTTTTTGATTTTCTACTCCACAGACTACCCTGCTAGACAAGATTGCTTTTCAACTTGGAGGGAAGAAGTCTGGTTTCCACATTCTTTCACATTTTATTGAGTACATTATAACCTAAACCTACCCACCTTATACAGACCAAAAATTCCCAAGTCCCGGAGTACATTCAGGGCGCTGACTCTGGGTCCCGTGGTGATCTCTCCAGCTACTTGCAGACGAATCTTCACTATCTCCAATGGGTTGGTAAAAATGACCTGAGAGCCTCCAGCCTGTAGGCAAGGGTGAAGAGACAGGCAGATTCCACATCAGAGCCCGACTGGCAGCGTAAAAAAGGAAAATCCAGCAAAGCCTCCACGTCTTGCTATCTTGAAAAGAAGAAGGTAAAACCTCCTTCCTCATGGGGGAATGACAGTTTGACACTTAGGCCCACCCTGGAGAGGTTCAGAGGGATGGTCTCAAACTCTGTCTCAGATCAATGTACCCCTGGGTTTGTTTCTAGCTGAAATGTCAAGACTATTTCTCAGACCAGTGTTTCCAGGATCACCCCAGCCATATTCCAAATAACAAAACTAATGAACCCATTTGGAAAAAAAAGTAGAGACAGATGTGGCAGCAAGGTACTCAATGAAAGAAAAAGAGATAGTAGAAGACTCTCATATTTTACAAGCCAGAGCTAAAATTCAGAGCTACAATTATTTTTTTCCTCTTTGTGGTAAGCATTCTTGGCAGCAAACCCACTTGCTTCTGCTTCCTTGGATTGTAGAGCAATTAAAACTACTTTGGTGCCTTAAGTCAAAAGGGGAAAAGTCTCCTCCAGTTCAAATCTAAAATGTATTATCCTAAGCAAAATTCGGATACAGGTACATGGCTACACCCACACAAAAGGGAAGAATTTAGAAAGATAAATTTCAGTATCATTTCAAGACAAAACCAGAAAAACTCTTCAAGGCAAAGCTGAGAAATGGAACATCTAGTTACCATGAGTACAACACCCTCAAGATCAAAGCCATATTCCATATTCCTGTGGTGAGTGACAGAGATTTGAATTTGGATAATGAGAGTATATTTGCATCTGAAATCTGTTAACTAGTAGAGAAAAAAAAAAGTTTAACAAAAACTTCTACCAACTTCTTTTTTTTTGGTTTCTGTAAGACAAGAAAGAAAAAAATGTGTGTGACCATGGATATAGAAAAATAAATAAAATATATATCTCCTTTCATGAAATGAAAAATCCCATTTGTACATCTTCAACTGTAGCTGTTTATATTATGTAATCATAACCATATTCATATAATATTCATAATGATATTCATATCATCATAATCATTGTATATAATCACATGTGAAATATGAAATCTGGGACACTGTAATTCCACAGGTAAAGATTACAAACAATACCAAAAATTCACATGCAGCTTTCAATGGTACTTCAGTGCTCAACCTTTGCCCACATTCCTGCTCGTTTACCTAAAACCCAAAGCCCTCCCAGACCCGCTTCCAAGGGGCAGCAACATGGCTCAGTCCATTTTCCTAATTGCCTTGGGACTATAAATCCCCCAACTACCCCTATTCCAATCCTGACTCCTTAACTCCTTTCAATATTCAAAATTGCCAGCAATGATACTAAATGCCTTCCCTCTTCATGGACAGCTTATTGTTCTGGATTCCCTAGGGCCTCAATCCCCTTTTTGTCCTTCGAGCAGGGAGGTGCAGCAATTTGCTGTCTCTCTCTCACGGTTTCCTCTAACTCCTCAACTCAACACAATCCAGACCACTGGCGCACAGGTCCCCCAACTATGTACTGACCCAATTTTACATGTTGATTTGCCTGCGTTTCTCTCTCTTTTAATCTGTTGCACTGCAGGCAGAAAGAAGCACTTTAATGTTTCAATCTAAGCAAACAATACTTTCAAAAGGATTGCTGGGTGAAAAATTATGTTAAAATGATAATCCAACTAATTGCTCCTGTAGCTAGTATTAAAGACCAAATCAATTGAAAAAGTTCACTACTTCCCTGAAATCTCTTGTTTAAATAATGGTTGCAAAGACTATCTTTTGGAAAATGTGCTTTATGTTTTAACTAAAGCAGGTTTAAAAATTAATAGAACTGAAAATTTTTATTCTAATTCCCCCAAATTTGCCACTACCAGACAGTGTCAGTCCCTGGGTGCCAAATGTTAAATGTGGACATTATGTTTAAATAAATACAAAGGTCTTTCATGTTTGTAATCATTAGTAAATTATAACATCCTGCTGGGCAGGAGTACTCCAATCCATGTCCCCCACCCGCACCTCACAGCTGCCTCCTCCCCTTCCTTCTCTCATGCACCCTTTTAGAAATAACTGCCAATTGATTGAGATTTATACTCCTTTAACAATGCTTCAAATTTTTTGAAGTATACAAGTAACAGGCTTTCTACTGAAACTACAAAAATGGTACAATAAAGAGAAATAATTGATGTTTTATTTGTTTGTGAGACAGGGTCTCACTCTGGCAGGATCAGCTCACTGCAACCTCAACCTCCCCGGGTTCAGGCGATCCTCTCACCTCAGCTTTCCAAGTAGCTGGGACTACAAGCGTGCACCACCACGCCGAGCTAATTTTTGTATTTTTTGTAGAGATGGGGGTCTTACCATGTTGCCCAAGCTGATCTCGAACTCCTAGGCTCAAGCGATCCACTCGCCTTGGCCTTCCAAAGTGCTAAGATTACAGGCGTGAGCCACTGCACCCAGGTGGGACTACATTTTAAAAATACATACACCTTAATTGCTGTATGATTTGAAGATTAGTTACCTAGCACACATACCAAATCCCAACAATGCACAGGACATAACCACAAAACTCAATTGATGTGCATTTATAAACACATTTAATCTGGCAAGTAAGAGTGCAAACAATCAATGACACTATAGCAAGGCACACATCTATAAGTTTGTTTCATGCCTATGTTTGAAGGAGGAACACTTCTGACAATTACATCATTTGTATATGCTTTAAAAACTAACATACACGCCAAGTGCAATGACACATGTCTGTAGTCCCAGCTGCTCAAGAGACTGAGGCAGGAGGATTATTTGAGCCCAGGAGTTCAAGGCCAGCCTGGGCAATGGAGTAAGACCCCTACCTCTTAAATTTTTTTAGTAATTAGTATACATTTTTAAAACCTCATGATAGGCCTAGGAACATAAGGCAAATACTTTCCAGAAACGCTGAATAATTTTAGCAAAGATAAAGACTGCAAAAACCGCAGTTACTTTTGTACCAACATAATAGTTTGTCTAAAACTCTGGATGTTTATAATGCTTAGAGGGAAACATACATGGCAAATATGCACTGTTCTTTTTCAAATTCTGAGGTTAATCACTCCGTCTCTCTCTCTCCTACATATTAAATTGGGGATAGGGAAGGGGGAGTAAAATCTGAGATTAGTTCAATTATACTGGTAAGAAATCAAGCAACACAGAATGAGGGACTATGATGTTATCAAACTATTGAACTGGGTGTTTCCTCTCTGAGAAACAAATACAGAGAAATAGAATATTTCTTCCAAGACTCTATTGATTATAAATGATATCATTAATAACAGCTCTCCAAAGGGGAAAACCACTGCTTGCAGTAAATATAATCTTTAATATATAGAATTCCATAAATACAGTAACTTTTCAATAAAAAATAGTACCTGTATTTCTACAAATATGCTAACATTTGCTATTTTTAATAGCAAAATTGAACAGGAAGAAATTCAAATTCCCAATAAAACTGCCAAGTAGATACAATTTTATGCTGTTAATTGGGCAATATGATTTGATAATAAAATCATGCCAAATGACAAAAACAGAACATAAGATATTAGGTACACATTTGATCATAAATATGTCAAAATTTACCTATGTTTCTCAAAATCAAAGTGGCTTAAAGATTAAAACATTGATTGCCTCCTGGATAAAGAAACTGAATAGCTGGGAGAAATAATTTTCATAGCATACTCTATTGTACCTTTTAAATTTCAAAACATATGAATGTATTAACTACTCAACAACAACAAGAAACAGACCTGGTCTTAGAAACAATGGCTTCTTTATAGACTAAGTCTTCTCTCACATATTCTTCTTCATGGTAAATTTGGTAATTTGGCAAATATATTTTTTAAACTAGTTGGCATTAGTTACTGTGGACCTAAGGTTTTTAAAAAAGCTTATTATATGTGAACATCAAAAAACCTAACCAAATATAGCTAGTGATCTGAAATAATCAACACTAAGATATATAAAATTTTAAATTAAACCACAATGATACACAGCTACATAAATTTAAATGGACATTGCTAAATTTGACATCCTGTTGCTTCTTTTACAAATGCTTATATTAGATAACATACCATTCAATACCATACCTTTGCTGAATTTTTTTCACTCATGAAATCACCAAAATTAGCTTCTAATTCTCTAATTGCTTAAATTTCCCTCATTAAATTTGCAGCTTATTTTTTAAAAGAGATACAAGCATTAATATTAAAACAGACTTAGATGCTTTCTACTTTTAAACTGAGTTTAAAAGATACATAAAAGGGAACAAGTCTCATTTTGAATGAGGGTTACCCATATATAACAGAAATGGAAAGAATAAAAAACTTCCATTTAATCTTATATGATTTTTTTAATGAGAAAATCAACTAAAGCTGACAGCAAAAGTTAGTGGGGAAAAGGATGTAATTTTGAGATGTCACCATGCTTCCACAGTGCCTAAGGCCGAGGGGCTATACACAGGATTAGGCCTATTCAACCTTCTGCCCTCTCAATCCTACCCCCGGGGCAAGTTTCACAAAGAGGTTGGAGACTGGGCCCTGTTTGTGCCAAGTCCTTTGTTTATTTCCTTCTTTGATCTGTTGTCTCCTATAGATTGAAATGATTTCTCTCCAACCACAAAATATCCAATCTAAGTAACTCATTATAAAGTCTTCCCTTTTAGAGACTGATGAAAATCTAACTTCAGTTTATTTAAGGTCACATCAACTCCAGATGAACACCATATGTGCACATAAAATAACCAGATAAACAATAAAAGTCACAGAACTAGGTGTCACTAGGACTGACTCAAGAGGAACAGGAACAGACAGTGAGTCAGCCTTGCACACCACCAACCATTCATATTTTTCTAAAGCAATAGGAAATGCTATGGTTCTTTCTAAAATAGGATAGCGATAGCTTAAAAGAAATAAACTGCAATGTGCTCATTGCTGATTGATGATATATGCGAGGGTGTTATGAA